TATTTTTTTTGTTTATTGTTTTTTAAATAATTTAGTATTGAAGTTATAGGAATAACGAATATATAGGGGTTGATGACCCCAAGATTTTACGCCTCTAAGTCCTAAACAACTACCCATGCGATTTCCTCGTGTCTGTGTTTTTATAAATTACATGCAACCTTCTATAAAATTAGAAAACATTAATTCGATTTTTTCTCTAACCATTTATTAAAGAGTAATTTCCTCGCCTATTAAAAGCCAATCTTTGTTTTTTTCTTACGAAAATGATGGTTCAAAATTTTTACCTAGGTGTAGTTTCCATCTCCCCCGATATTACCCCATATTTCTGCCGTTCAATTTAGCACCGAATGGGCAGGCATCGGTTAGTGGTGCTTAAGGTTTTATTAAGTTTTCCCGAGAGGAGGGGGGGGGGGGGGGGAGGGAGAAGAAAAGAAGCCCCGAAACGTTAATGAAACCTTGGGGAATTCCTGCATCGACCTATTTCACTGGCTAGGCCCTTCGCCCCTGCTCTGCGCCACCCGCGGTACAATTTATTCTCTATCCTACTTTTTTATTACATATTATTATTAATAAAATTTACTAATTGATTTAAATTAATTATTAAAACCATTTCGTTCTTTAAATTTATTGTTAAGCCCAAAGTTAAATTGGGTCATTTGGTTATAGAAGGGCCATTCTACACTGATTCGACGTTGAGTCCAGAAACATAAGACCCGTGTCTAGTTTTTGCCAGTGCGCCCCAAGAGCCGAGAAGAAAATTATTTTATAAAATATAAACCATAGTTTTATTTATTCATATTTTTGTCTTTAACAGTTAGATAGAAAACAATGCGTAAGATGTCACAGCAACTTTTTTACTAGATTCGATTACCAGAAGTGACACTTTGTATTATGAAATTTAGCAATCTCACGTGGTTGAACGTGGTAAGAACATGGATTCTTAATGCATCGGAGTAACGGTGGCCTCCAAGCATCTACCGCCTCAGAGGCACTGAGGGCCAGCCTGCTGAGGGAAACAGCGTTCTACCTTCTGCCGGTAAACAATCTCTCCCAGCTAACGTTGAAGAAGAACTGGCCGCACTACAAGGCCTTTATTGTTGTTACGGATTGGTGTAACTCCATCATGAAGGTTCCCAGGAAGGATGGAAGGGGCCGATCAAGTAGAAGGATGGATAAGCCTATATCAATATCAATAAGCCAAGAAAGATAGAAAATTAAGAGGGGTAACTCAGTATTTAAGGCGATGACTATTTATGCTCCAGATCTCGGGTTTGAGTCCGGATGTGGTAGGTGATTATTCATTCTGTTACATCAGTCGTGGGATAGGCTCCTGTGGGCGCCCATTCTCTATAAGGATCTTATTAATTAAATAACTAATATAGAGGAGAAATCTGGCAATTGAGCGTAATCTCGGCCCAATCACCTCTCTGCACAACCGTTGCCTTTGAAAGGGTACTTCATTTCATAATACTGAACCTAAAAACCTTTATTGGTTGTTGCGGTACAGGTTTTTAATTTTTTTCATTATAGCAGTGGTTCTGTAACGCATGCATTCCTAACAAGTTGAAACGTTTTATAAATTTATATTTATGATAATTATAAATTTATAATTATGATAATGTTGGTAAAAATAATATGCAATGAAAAATATATTTTCCTCCGATTAAAGAAGACAAAATATAGTAGACAATATAATTTTAGTTAAAAATATTTTAAATATGTGTATGTCGGATGCATTCCATAAAGTTAAAATCAGTAATTATTTATCTGAGGAGTTTTGAGGTTCGGATTTAAAACAAGATGATTCACTTTCATCTGTCCTATTTAATTTAGCATTTGAACATGCCTTTAGAGAGGTGATACGTACCGCCAAAGGTTTGAGTCTGAATGGAAAAATATCCATGCTTGGTTATGATTTCTGCTGTTAAGTGAAGACATAGAAACTATAAAGTTGAATGAATGAATAAATGGTTTTATTTATAGAATTACACAATACAACAGAAAATAATTTATAAAAAGTATACAGAGACAATGAAAATAAGCAGCATGCGTTTGGATGTCATGGAGTCATGTTCTGTTGGCTGTTCTTTTCTGTCTTCATCATGCTTCAATTTGCGAAACGTTGACAGATTTCTTTTCTTTACTTGCATTTTGGGGACATATTACTGTGTCGTTTGTAATTTTCCCCGATTACAACCTAATACCTATGTAGAGCATGTACGGGTTTATGAGAATGGCAAAGCAGAACTCGAGGAGATTCTAGTGTTTTTCTGTTTTTCTCCCTGTCTCGTTACTGGTATTAAAAGGCAGTGGAGACTGAAAGAGGGCACTAGAGCCACAGACGATAGACGCTAAGGGCTTGAGTGGAAAATTTAGCCATTGCCAATCCAATGCCAAATTGACGAGAGGTCTTGGGGCAACCGCCGTTTAAATCTCTAAGTATCATACGTATGGTCGAAGATGGATGGGGATTGAGTTGGAGCATTAGGATGATGAATAATATTTTGGAGAATGATTGAAAGTATGGATAGAATCATTTCAAGGAAAATGGGATCTTCAGATCATGATGTAAGACTTGTTTGTGGCATGATATGGGACTAGATATTGATTGACCAGTTTCTGCAAGCAGATCTGTATTGTTCCTTCTCCATGCGTTGATACTCTTATTCCAGGTCCCTCCGGTTACCGTCGAAAGACCGCTATATCTTATGCATATCCAAGATTTTCATACCGACGTGTTATTGTTATCACCTTCTTCAGCGCTAGTTTGAAGATCAGTAAGAGTCCATCTGCTGCCTTAAGTCAGTTCGAACTTGAAAGGCTTCAGATAATTCTCCTTTATTAGCACTCGATCGCTCAATCTCACCAACCTGACGGAAACTCGTTTCTCAGTCGTGGTTTTCGAAAGACAGTTCCGCTCCACGGTGTTGTATCGAATTTGGATGCTTTGAAATCGAAGGATGTGAACTACTTATTTGTCGATTTTCCAACATTTTTCTAGTTCTTGTTTTAAAATAAATACTGTCCTAGAATGTATCTCCCTCTTCTGAATCCAGCTCGCTGATGGCTTATTATATTCTCTAATACAGATATACTCACTTTGGTAGGATATTATTTATCCTATCTTATTATCTTGTAGGTAACCGGAAGTGGTGCTATACCTATGTAATTACTACAATTATTCATGGAGCCTCTCTTTAGAATAGGATAGATTAGGCCTGTATTGCAACTTCTGCTACACTTTCCTACTCCCATATTTTTTGGATTAGTTGTAGTATGTATTATTCATTCATAAAATGTACAAATGTATTAAATAAAACTACAACAAATGTTAAGATAGCGGCATAATGACATGAATAGGCTTATAGACAAGCTACATATTAATAGCACTGGAATATAATTCCGAGATTAGGAGATCATGAGGCCATCTTCTTTTCAGACGCTTCGGAGGATTATCGAAGATTGAAGTGGAAGCAGAGTTAGTAATCAGAAGATTTGGAAGGATCTGAAATTTATTATAAAAGGATAGGTATCTGGATTGGGTCAAATCGGAAACATATGGAACAGTAAGGTCGTTATGAATGATTTTATTTCTGACTAAGTGAGAAGCATTCGATTTTACAAAGAATTTTGGATCGCAAGGATTAGATATGAGAGGAATTCGATGGTTTAGTCCCGAAGTTCAACCTCGTATGTCCAAATAAGTCTTATTATAGTCATGTAAATGAGTCTTTTAGAATCTAGGAAGGGATACCGACGTTTCAGAATGAATTTTCTAGGATTTTATCAATGAATTTATATATATAAATGTTTATTGGTAGTTAAAAACGTACAAGGTTTGTTTATTACATAGAACATTCAAACCGATGACCCCCCACCGTTTTCCAAAGATACTACTACCGGTACCTGCAAGATCTAGGAGGGACTCTTTGAATGGAGAGGGCGGTTGAATCGACCGCGTTGGCCTAGGCAGAACCCGTGACGCCTTCGGGAAGTTGATATTGATTGCCGAAGAGAGCCCGCAGGCGGCGCGCAGGCCCGGGTCTCCACACCAGTCCAAGTAGTGGAGTTGCTGGATGTCTCCCCGAGGAACACTCTTCATTCCAGAGGTGAGCTACTAGTTATAGCCAGAGCTAGGAATACTAATACCAATACTGAGGCAGGAGGACGTTACTATAAGAAGCAATCTGTGGCTGTGTGTGTTGTTCAGTTCGTCGATATGCGATATTCTTATTTGAAAATCGCAATTATCTTATTATTGATGTTTATTATATTTTTAGTATTTTTATATTATTCTGCCTGAGCCGTCCTACAATATCCTGTGTACAAGTATGTGTTGCCCTATGTTTATTTTTTCCGATGTACAGTTTACATTTTGTAACCAGATCCTCTTTCATATCTGTTTATATCTTACATCTAGACATTGCCGTCATGTATTTATTAAACGAATTAAATATACATTTCATATAGCTTGTATATAAAGGGCTAATAATGTCTCCTTATCGAGCTAAAATCGATATGGATATATGTTCTGTTTACGGTGCCATATGGTCGCGCTGGGCCCCTTTCGAGATATCCTTTCCTTCACACTATCTCCTTGTATCACCATTACAAAGAAGATAGACCACTAATCGATAAAGTTTCTGTCCGATTATCTTTTATCAATTTTTCAATTTTATATTCTATATTTTTACAATTATTTACCAGGCTCCAATCCTAACGTGTAAGGTTTTCATTATTCAAAAATATTAATTTAGTTTTTCTAAAATATTTTCTCCCATATAAATTACAAATTATTGCACAATATTTTTCAAACTTTTGATTTAAATTTATTCTAAATATGAATCATCCCTTCTTAATGATTGTACAATTATATATAATATTTTAATATTATGTATAGCATTATACTTTTGTACAATTATATATAATATTTTCATATAACATATGTTTATTTATATATTTGAATTATTTTTCAGATATAAGGAAAACTAAGAACAGACATGTCATCAGTAAAAGTAGCCGTAAGGGTTCGCCCATTCAACAACAGAGAAATATCGAGGGAGTGCAAATGTATCATAGAAATGGCTGGATATACCACAAGTAAGTCATTTTATATATTAATCAATACATAATATCTTCATAGAAAAATATTTCTATGTATTAATTATTAATTTAGTCGATTTATTTGCAAAAAATCATTAAATAATTTTGATAACATTAAATTATTAAGTACGTTGATGAATTTTTCTCTGTTGAAATCAGAATATTTTTCCAAGGACAGTTATCTTGGGACATTTGGACTGTACATGCTTCCTGGCTCTTTTAATCAAAATTAAATTATAAACTAAAGATAAATCAAAATGATATGGCATTTGCTATTTTGATGCTCTTACTATAATTTAGTAACGATATATAAGCTCAAATTTACTAAAAACATACTTAATAATTTAACTTCTTGAAAAATATATTTAGTGGCTTTTTTGCAATTAACTAACGATTCATAACTTATTATAGAGCTGTTTCGCCGAAATATATTTATTTATTTATACTTTATGAGTTTGAAAAATCCTCATCAACAAATCAAAATTCATATTTAATAACTCGCTACTGATAATAATTTCGTTAAAAAATAATCTGTCACCAACGCCATTTTATTTCGTCTCAAATTCATTTCATTGTTTAGTATATGCAACTGTTGAAATGAGAATAATAAATGTTTGTAAGATAATGATGTAAATAACTTATTAGCATATGAAATTATTTCGTGAAAAATATGAATTATTTACATGAGAAGGAGTTAATCGGGGGGTGCGGTCAAATAAATACTAAATTAAAATATAGTAATTATTTAATTACTATATTTTAATATACCATCTCTACATCATTATGAATTATTTATAATTTTTTAGTATAAGACTATGTATTATTATTATTTCTTGACGTTATGGAAATCGCATACCATATTTAGAGGTTTTCTTTTTTAGAGATATATAAAAAGATTGATAAATATAGTCTTTCATGTTCCTTGATATATGTATATATATATATATATATATATATATATATATATATATATATATATATATATATATATATATATACATATTGGGTTGGCAAACATGACCTTTCGGTTTTTCAGGGTGAAATAAAACTCAGTGTATTATAGACATACAATTTATTTTAATCTCCAATATATTGACCATTATTTAATATGATTTTTTTCCATCTTTTCACTAACTGCATAATGCCATGTTCATAGAATGTCTGGTTTATTGTTAAAAAACTGATTCAAGTGGTTTTTGATGTCCTCTTCCTTTTGGAATTCCTTTCAATTCCGCACCGGATCCCGGAATAAGTGGTAGTCTCTTGGAACTATGTTTGGTGAATAGAGAGGGTGGAGCAAAAGGTCCCATCCAAGGCTCAATAATTTATTGCGAGTGATGAGGTGTGGGGTCTAGGGTTGTCTTGGTGGAACACAACACCCTTCCGATCATTTTTAACTCTTTAGGATGTTCTCCGAATTCGATGTTACTATATCTGGCACTAATTGGGTGGCATTTTGATCAACAATGGCCTTAACATTGCTCATTTTCATGTACACGACGAGACCTTCGAGCATCATTGATGTCGAAATTTCCTGAATGAAATTTGGCAAACCAATTTTGACAGGTGCGTTCGGTTGAGGCATCGTCCCTATAAACACTACACATTTTTCCATGAGCTCCTGCAGCACGCTTACCGTTTTTTAAAATAATACAACAAAATATGCTGATATTTTCTTCCATATTCACAGTGCAATAGCAAACACAATACTATATATATATATATATATATATATATATATATATATATATATATATATATATATATATATATATATATCTAACTTCTCCACCACAGTTTATATCTTATAGATTTTATTTGTTTTTGTACGTTTCTAAGATTCTTTGATTTCTCTGCATCATCTATGTTTTGTTATTATGAGTTAAAATGTATCTATATTTTATCTCTTCTTCATTTCTCCATCCATACCTGTCAGAAATTGCTAACAATATCTGAACTACATCCAACTGCTCTTGATTTGCTGTTTCCTCATTATTTCTTATTTCTATTTCACATATAATTAAGAAGCGCACTAAACATTCCCTAAACGTATGAATATTTGTTTATAACTCTACAAACTACGAGTTTCTTTTTTTGTTTTAATTGGTTCAATTAATTGATGAAGGTTGACGTGAATAAATTAAAAATAATGAGAAAAGGTCAGATATATTTATTTATTTTATTAATATTGACTAATGAAACAATGTAAAAATTATAGACGATTGGTATAATATGTAATATGTACAATAAAAATGTTCTAACGATGTGAAAACGTCCAGAACTGATAATAAGAAAGAATGCAAAGCAATCGAAAGCATTGTCATTAACAATTCTTTTTAACCAATAGGATATACGTGGAAAATTAATTATATCACTTTAATAATAATTTTTTCTTGTATAACTAAAAACCTAAAATTTTAGATATAAACACATATAGAATATCCATGCACTGTGAGTGAGCATTTAAATAACAATATGCTATGTTCATCACAAATATCATTATTCTATGATAAGAGAAAGTAGCCCGACATTGTTTTGAAAATAAAAAAACCTTAAATACATCGTCTCATAAATCCTATAAATCCTTATAATATAAATCCTAACACCGCATAACTTTAATTTATTTATCAATACATTTCAAGAAGCTAAAAGAGGCTTCATTTTTACGCTATGACCTCCTTCTTATAAGTTATTAAAACATTTTTTTTAATTAAAAAGTTTCGAAAACATCGTCTTGTCCTATGCATGGTTGGGTTACCATTCGATCTGGAGTTAAGGAAGTTATCCATGGATACTACTCCTGGATTATTTTAGTGAGTGAGAAAACATTGAGTTACTGAGTTATCCGGTTTTAGATAGATTGATAGGCCGATTTACTGAATTCAAAAAGTCAATGAGGATATCGCTTGATCCGATTCGACACAGAAGAAAGAAGAGAAGGAAATTCGAAATTTAAATTTGGTGTTTTGTTTTTATCGAAGTCACGTTTTGGTTAAATATGAAGCGATAACTTAAAATTCATTGGTTCATTACCAATCACATCTTGAACTACATGATTTTATCTAGACAAGCTGGAGTTGAAATATTGTCTCTTTGTCGCTAATTGATAGGATAATCTGACGTACCATCCGCGGGACTTGTCGATCCCTACATCCTGCTTCACGATCCAACTCTTTGCTGGGGTGTGGTGGTGCTTCTTTAATGTTCTTAGTTCTTGGTAAAAGATATTTCCTATAGGGAAGTAATTTTAGTTATTTTTATTTAATTTTTGGAAATAGTAAAACTGTAAATATCGAACAATAACATATAGTATCAATAGTCATCAAATGTATAGTGTCTATATTCATCAAATATATTGTTGGTACTATGTTAAAATACCGAATGTGCACCTTTCAACTGTTGCACTTTCGTTACTTTAACATGGTGCCAGCCATGTAGTATCGATAGTTATTGAATATATCGAAACATCAAAAACATTATCAAAATTTCGGACCTTGATTTTTAAAATTTATTTTATTTATTTATTTGGTATTTTGTTGCCTCTACCCTGTAGGGTCATTGGCAACGCCTTTACATTACACTCTGTTGCAGAGTTTTATCACTTTCGTTAACGATTTCGTCAGGGTCAGTTATAATGTCTTGTCCACTCTTTATACCAGGCAATTTCTTTGTTTTGGAGATCCCCTTAATGCTTTTCACTTTATTTCAGAGCTCCTTCATTGAAATGCTTTGATTTAATGAAGAGACGAAGTCTTCCCATGACGATCTTTTGCTTTTCGGTATATATCGTAATCTTTGTATCTCACTGTTTGAGTTTCTTGTAAGTGTGTTTCTTGGAGACAAACTAATACAGGGTTCTCTTCGCTTATTGTCATTTTTAGGTGCTCTAAATGTCGGAAAAATCTGTTACAATTCCATTGAATGATTTTAATTTTTTCCATTTTGATTGGCAAAGTGTTTCTTATTTTCCAGATTATTATTATCACCATATGTTATTTTTAAATGTTCAAGGAGTGCTCATTCAAAATCTTTATTAGTTTTGAGGTTCTGATTTTTAGCCCTCTATGTGATACTGTGTCTCTGATATCTGAGAGCATTGTTTTCAGACCGTTTACATTGTTTGTAAACTGAGACATGATATCAGCAGCGTTTGATTCATTTTCTCCCTGAGTCATGTCGAGTAATAGGCATATTTTTTCGTAAGTGAGAGGGTAAGTTCTTTTGTTGTTTAAGATCATGGTTCGCACGGGTCCAAGTATGGTTTCAGTGGGATTTCTGGTCTTCTTTGTTTTAATATTTGAGCCGGCTTTGCACTTTTTCGCAGGTAATGATACTGTATCTCTAGTTTGTAAACGTTGTAGGTTTTTGTTGATCCCTTGATTCTGTGATAAGTATGGTTTTTAAAATTTGTAATAGCTTTAATATGAGCAATTGAATGTTTATTTATTTTATATCAGCTAGAAGAAGATAGAAAAGAAAATGACTTTTTTCTTTTTCTCTGTAAATCTTCATCACCACTTCTCATGAAGGTGGCAGTGAGCAGACGTGTTGCTGAATTGAGATAATAGAGAGAAATTTTAAGCACATTAGGCACATTTTAACACATCTCCCTTCTCCAATGACGTTATAGATATTACAATTTCCCTAAACTATATTTTTGGAGGAAGGAGGGTTCATGGCATCTCCATGTTGTTCTGAAAGCAATACTTTTTTTAAAATATATAGTAAAATAATTAACGTTCAATATAAAACTGATTAATTATAGTAAAATAATTAACGTTCAGTATAAAAGTGATTAATTATTGCTCAAAACATTTTCTTATCGCATGCCAACAATTCTATTTGCTAAGTGATAACATTCAAATCGATAGATTCCTGATGACTAATCGAACTTATTATCTTGCCAGTGAATGGAATGAGGATGGAACGAGTTACTTGTAACTATTGAGGAAACTCGGTATAAGTGCTTAATATTCTAGAGAAGTGTGCATTTGAAA